CCTTGGTGTAACCTATGCCACTGCCGTATGGAATTGTTTCTTGAATAGTCATATTAGACTCCCAAAGCATCTTTGATTCAGCAAAAGAGGTCAAGAGAAATGGATATTGGCAATATCAGTGCCTCATGAAAAGGCATTCAGCCCTGGTTGTCACTAAGCCAGGCACAATTCTCGACTCTGCCAGTGTTAACAAACAGAATTTAAAGTCATGGTGGAAGAACACTGGCTGACTGGTGAAGCTGAGCTCTCCTACTGTCAGCGTATGTTGTCTTAGAAATCAGAAGCCAGTCAGAGAAAATGCCCTATCAGCCTCATCAGGAGGCTGAGGAGAAAAAGGATTGCTTTCTACTCTCTAAACTATGGGAAACGGCCTTCATTTTTGAAAAACCTAACTTCTCAAATGGCTTTCAGATTTATTATTATTATTAAAAACACACACACATTTCACATTTTTTAAAAATGCGTAATTTGTTAAAAGCCAGTTTGTTAACTGGCTGAAAAATAAAAATAAAACGTTTTGTTGGCAGGTAGCCCTGAAAGAGATTAACCTTTTGCAAGGCAGTCTGTTTCAAAGGGTGAAAATATGGAAGGGAAATACAATCTCTCTTTGATTCAGGTAATACCATCAACATTCATTTACGGGTTACAACATTACAAAGTATTATCTAGTGATGGTATTTCAGTAGTTAGGTGGATATGAAAAACACTGCTGGGCCAGACAAAAGGCCCATCTAGTCCAACATACTATTCTCACAATGGTCAACCAGATACCTCTGGAAAGCCTGCAAGCAAGCCATGGTCACGTTCCCTGTCTCTGCGTCCTTTCTCTGGTACTGAAGATAGTACACAGCCATCCTGTGTTTTGCTTTGCATTTGTAGGAAAGAATGCAGTGCCTTCTAAAAGCTTATGTTCACTTACCACATTATTAAGTGATTTCCTTGGGGTATTAGACCTTAAAAAGTAAGTGAGGCAAAGAAACTAGATATTCACCTTGACCTGTGATTCATGTTGTTTATTTCCTTGACATCCGATGGGAGGGCGTTTCACAGGGTGGGTGCCACTACTGAGAAGGCCCTCTGCCTGGTTCTCTGTAACCTCGCAATGAGGGAACTGCCAGAAGTCCCTCGGAGCTGGATCTCTGTCCGGGCTGGATGATGGGAGTGGAGATGCAGGGCCAAAGTCATCCACATGGCATGCTATATCTCCATGATAAATGGGACTTCATGAAATGGCCATCATCTGATAGACACAATTGTCATAGGATCAATATAGTCCTTTGAATCTAGGGGAGTCATGACACTGGAGGTACGACTTCATGTTAACAATATCTTATGTGTAACTTGTGCTATTATTTTCTTTGGTAGAAACCAAAATATTACAAATAGAAATGGTAGGCAAGTACCACATGGCAAATGTGCAATTCTTTTCTGCGCGAAGGATGCAGTTGCCTCTGATCAGTTTGCTTTGAGTTCATCCACTCATTTCCACAGGCAGATTGACACATCTGTCATTTATTTGCCTTAAATTGTTTTGGAAGCGCGACATTTCTGCCGCGTGTGCAATTCTCCTTTGCAAATGGGAGCTCCCTTACAAGTCTGGGTGGCAAGATGGTTTTGCCACAACTTTAATACATTTGGCTGCCATGGGAATTAGAAACAATCAGGCAAAGTGTGTGTTCTTGTCCACCCAGGAAAGGAAACTAGGTAGGAGGAGAGGTCTGAGCTCTCTTTTGAAACTGTGAAGTCAAACCAGAAAGAGATTGTCATTGGTGTCACTAAATAATGCTATGGGAAGCAGCCTTCATTTCGACAGCGTATTTTTGCATTACAGTTTCCTGAGAACCACTGTATTGAAGGTTTGTCCCTCTAAAGCAGAACATGACACAAGGTTTGCTCGGGATAACTTTGTCAGGGCTCTAAGGAGTTTTCAGTATCCAGGTTTTCTGCTTTTGATATCTTGGTAAAACTCTCTTTGTGTCCATATTCCAGTCTAGGGTTATAGAATCATAGAATCATAGAGTTGGAAGAGACCACAAGGGCCATCGAGTCCAACCCCCTGCCAAGCAGGAAACACCATCAGAACACTCCTGACAAAGAGAAGAGACATGGCGGTGGTACCTTCTAAAGCTAAGAAGTTGAAGACTGATTTTCATGGAAGTGTGGGGTTAATGTGAGTGTCGCTGACTGGATAGAGAACTTGTGTGATGAGTCCAGAACAATCATGGCAGAGGTAGAACTCCTTCCCACATACAGAGGTCTTGATTCTGATTTTAATATCAGATACTGGGAACTGTGGGAGGTGAGAGTGTTGTTGCATTCACATCCTGCTTGTGGACATGATCCCATGAGCATCTGGTTGGCCACTGTGAGAACAGGTTAATGGACTGATTGGGCCACTGGCCTGATCCAGTGGATTCTTCATATGTTCTTATTCCCTCCCTCCAGACAAGTGCTATCTAGAAAGGGAGGAGGAAAATCAAGATTTCAAAGAGAGATCTTAGAAGATAATATTAAATTATTGTTGAAAATGTATAATTTGCTCCTGGAATGGGATACCAAAGATGAACAGGTCAAATCTGCAATGTTACAATGGGCCAAAGATATGGGACATAATATACAAATGACAGACTGGGAGAGGCTATGGAAAACAGATCTGAAATTTACGGCATGTTCTTTATTGAAAGAAAATTATATGAAATGATGTACCGGTGATATTTGACCACGGTTAAACTAGCAAAAATGTATAGAACAAGTACTAATATATGCTGGAAAAGTAAAGAAAAAGAAGGTACCTTTTGTCATATGTGGTGGACACACATAAAACTATAAAAAAGGGAAATGTATATAATGAAATGGAAAAAATGTTTAAAATAACTTTTGTTAAAGTTTTTATTAGGAATTATAGGTACCAAGATTCCAAAGGACTAGAGGAAACTGTGTATGCTACAACGGCCGCTCGGATGTTACTAGCTCAGAGATGGAAGGAAGAGACAGCCCCGACCAGAGAAGAATGGCAAACCAAGTTGATGGATTATGCCGAAATGGCAAAATTAACTGGGAAGCTGAGGAATCAAGAAGACAAGAAATTTAAAAAAGAATGGAAAATGTTCATAATGCATATACAAATTCATTGTCAAACAGGTCAAAACATTAGCAGGACTTTAAATACACTTGTAATGTAATAAATAAAGGGACACGGGTGCTGCTGTGGGTTAAACCACAGAGCCTAGGACTTGCCGATCAGAAGGTTGGCGGTTCGAATACCCGCGATGGGGTGAGCTCCCGTTGCTCGGTCCCTGCTCCTGCCAACCTAGCAGTTCGAAAGCACATCAAAGTGCAAGTAGATAAATAGGTACCACTCTGGCGGGAATGTAAACTGCATTTCCATGCGCTGCTCTGGTGCGGCAGAAGTGGCTTAGTCATGCTGGCCACATGACCTGGAAGCTGTACGCCGGCTCCCACGGCCAATAAAGCGAGATGAGTGCCGCAACGCCAGAGTTGGTCATGACTGGACCTAATGGTCAGGGGTCCCTTTACCTTTACCTTTAATGTAATAAAATGTATAGATAACTTAGGAAAATGAAAAATTGGAGAAGTACTGATATGCAGTTGAAAATAGAATCAAAAGGACCCATGGAAGGGATGGGTGGAAGTCAGGAGATGCAAAGTAATCTCGATATTTGGATTTTGTACTGTTTTAGATTGCATGTTTATCTATTTGAAAACCAATAAAAGAATAGAAAGGGAGGAGGAATGGTCACATTAAATACAATGACACATTTAACATCACATCTAGTTTGATACTCTAATACTCTTTATCATCTTGATAAAGTGGGACATAATATGGTAAGTTGAAACAGTCCAAGGCCACAAGCCTGCATCCAGTGTGGTGTTGAGAGCCAGTGTGGTGTAGTGGTTAAGAGCAATAGACTCGTAATCTGGTGAACCGGGTTCAATTCCCTGTTCCTCCACATGCAGCTGCTGGTGACCTTGGGCCAGTCACACTTCTCTGAAGTCTCTCAGCCCCACTCACCTCACAGAGTGTTTGTTGTGGGGGAGGAAGGGAAAGGAGAATGTTAGCCGCTTTGAGACTCCTTCGGGTAGTGATAAAGCAGGATATTAAGTCCAAACTCTTCTTCTTCTTCTTCCATGAGTGAGTGGATCAGGGGCTGAATGGCCACATGAAATAATATAAGAAAGGCCCTCCTGGATCAGGCCAATGGCCCATCTCCACCAATGCGCTGTCCTCACAGTGGCCAATCAGATGCCCCAGAGCAGGATCTGTGCATCAGTATCCTTCCCACTTGTGATTCCCAGCAGCTGGTATTCAGAGGCCTGTTGCCTCCAATGGCTAGTAGCCACTGAAAAAAGCCATCATTTCTTATTTATTGTGCGAACCCATCCAAGCTCCTGGCATGTTCATAGCCCGTAATATTTTTTATTTTTTTTAATGGGAAGGCTGCCATTTCTGAGGCCATCAGGAGTCAAAGGCATAATTTGAAATGATAAACATCTCCATTTCAAGGCACAAGTTACTTTGCATAGTTAATATCACTATAATTAGTCATAGTTCTTGTAATTTATTGGAAAGGATGCTCAGCCCCTCTAGTGTACTACAGTGATGAATGTCGGTAGTGCAACTTTGGAAGCTGGAATCAAGAAAATTAGTAACAGTTGGAGAATTAGCATGTAAATCAATAATATCCTTTCTCTAGCATCTTGAGAAGCTGGGGGTATAGATCATATGCTGCAAAACGAAAAGGAGCACGAAAAGTTACAATCGTAGCCTTCTCTGAACGATTATGGCTGCTTTTGCAGAAAGCTTTATTTTCCTTTTTTTAAAAAATAAAAAAAGAGAAAACCTTTAGCAAATATTTAAACTATGTATAACTAGTCGCAAATAAATTAAGCTGGTTTTATGCATTCTCTCTAATGAGAAGGGCACCGCATTTATTGAAAATGTGATTAGTATTATTCATTAAGCAACAACAACGAAAATCCTCATTTGTATCTTATTATCACTATTCTGCATAAACTAACACAATTTGTCACGAACTCCCTCATTTGCTGTATCCTCAAAAAAGCAGATTATGCTTATTTTTCATTTGGACAGTGGAAAATCAAGCCAGGTGTTTGGCAGCACCAGAGTGTTCAGGTGTAACTGTGCCAGTGATGGTACATTACTAGCAGCGTGGATGAAGAATGAGGCATGGAGAATCATGGGACTGAGGTGCCTGGAGGCCCTTCCCTTCAGAGTGGTCCTGCTGATGAGACAGGTGTTCCTGTAAAAAAAAGAGAGAGAGAGAGAGTGAAACTTTGTGTGTTTTTTTTGTAAAGTCAGCCTTTCACCTTCAACTAGAAAGCAAAAGTGCTAATGACTGAGCTGATGGGTCTCCGTTGTTATTATTCTGCTTTAAAATTCAAATATCTTCAGCAGGCTAATATATAATACATGTTTTCTGTGGTGATTTGGAGCAATACAGATGAGCGCCCACCTATTCCTTGTGTGGGGTGGGCGGGTGGGCAGAGTGGGGTGGGATGCTATCCCACGTCTTTTCAGGGTCTTCTCTCTGCTTCTCAGGTGAGGATAACTCCAGACCCTCCAAGTGTCCCTATTTTCCAGGGACAGTCCTGGATTTACAGACGCCATCCCAGTTTCTGATTTGATCCTGGAATGTCCCACTTTTCCTTAGGACATACCTATTTTCCTCAGAGAAATGTTGGAGAGTATGGAGTTATGCAACCCCAGAGCCAAGGAGATAAGTAACTATACAACCTTTAGAAGACAACTGAAGACAGCCCTATATAGATATTTTTTAAAAAAAATATTTTATGTTTGGTTATGTTTTTATATAAGCTGGAAGCCACCTAGAGTGGCTGGGGCAACCCAGTCAGATGGGTGGGTAATATTATTATTATTATTATTAATAATAATAGGACATCCCTATTTTCATCAGAGAAATGCCAGAGGGTATGTAACTCTATCGCCACAATCTCACTTCCTTTTCTTTCACCCTTTGAAACCACCCCACTTCCTTTACCCTTCCTCTTCCACTTTTAGGCATTGATAGTTATATCATTTGCTTTTGCGTGTTCAGACCCAGAAACCTTCCCTCTAAATAAATTCACACATGACTCAAATTTTAGTTTTGATGTTTGGCAGAATTTAGACCACAACTTTATTGATTACAGAAAGTGCATAGGCTCTGGTTCGACTAGCTCCCTGCACTCTTGCAGGCAGCGCTGACCCAGGGCACCAGCATAGGTCAGCCAAGCGTGAACACCTGGGAAGATGAAAAGCCGGGGACAGACTCTGTTCACCACCTAGATGCCCCCCTGGACTCAGGTATGGGCACAACCCCCTCTCAGGGGTTGACCAAACCAGTTGAGTCCCTGGATTCCTTTAACGGAATACCCTTCACATAGGGGTGGTGAGACCGCTCCCCTATCCCTATCACCTGAACCAGTGCCTATCCACAACCTTACAAGTTGTGACAATTTGTTACACGGCAACATTTGGAATCCCAAATGGCAACAGCCAATCAGCCAAGTGGGGAAATTCCTACTGTGCCCCTGTCCCAATGACAGACGACACACGACGGCATAGCAAGGTCAATCGCACAAATCCCTAAAATTAGGGAGAGGTGGGTGGGTGTTCCGAATGCATGAGTCAAAAGAGGAAGCTCTGGGTCATATGCATGGGTATAAATAGGTCCTTCAATCCATTTGGACTGTGCCCCATTGGTCAGATTGAGCCCAACATCGAGGAACCTACCAATCGGCTGTTGTGGCAAACCAATCCAACCCACCCACAACACAGGAGGTCAGTCTCCAGGTGTCACCGCAACACGTGCCCTCTTTTAGGGAGGACATGATCTCTCCTGCAGTACCAAATTTGGGAAGTAATGTGGCCAGGCGTCTTGCTGTACAGAGGGCTGTTCTCTGTTAGATGAACTTTCAGAGCACAGCCCTTTATTTTCAGGAGTCTTCTGTCTGAAGGACTGCCTGGTCCAAGTCTGGTTAAAAGAAAAAAACAAGGAAAACAGAGAGTGAAAGCCTTGAAGTTGCCCGTCAACAGTTAGCATCTGGATAGTAGTCCACCTGGCCATCTCCAATGCATGCAGATGTTATTCAAATCTATGACTACTTTTGCTCTCATTTGTGTGTGTGATACATTTCCTCTTTTCTGGTGATGCATAAGCGGTCATTTTAGGTGGAGGATTTGTGCTCTCAGTGACCCGCTCTTAATTATTCGGCAGTGAGGATGAAGACACAGTGCCAACTCACAGCATTTGAGCGGTAAATAGCAGGCCACAACTTTATTAAATGTTTGGACATATAAGTTTATCTTGCAGCAGGTCTCCTTGCAGAAGAAGGATATGCAATTGTCACCACTGTGCAACATCAAAGCCTTTCACCCTCCCTGTTGAACAGCTGATAGAGGAACCCAGAGGAGCATATAAACTCTAGCAGTGAGTTGCCTCTGGCCTGTGGACCGAAGTTCCCCACCCCTGCCCTAAGACATGGTGAGCCTAACATTTGCTGTGTGTGACAGTTGGATCTAGGACATGGACTTGATAGTTTTTAATTATGATTAATGGAGTTACTTAATGACATTACTTGGTGTTTGTTTTAATAGCAGAGCTACGAAAATGCAACATAGCAGTCTGCTGAATTAGGAGTGAAACTTGCGCATAGACTATGGACCAAAGTAAACAGATGTTGTGGAAACAATATATTATTATGAACTATTTAAAGGTCTTCTCATTCTTGAATGTCTAAGATAACGGGGCTGAGGGCTGGAAAAGGTTTAAGGAGGAAATGCAGCTGTTTCTGATAGCCATTCAGTCAGTTGATACTCTAGATCAGCAGAAGATAGCCATTTCCCCTCTGAATCTTGTTAGAGCCCAGGCATTAAGTGCTTACAATTCATTGGAGCTGTCTTCTGAGGGGAGAGTCAGTTATGATTTTGGTGATGCAAAATATGAGGAGTATTGCCTAATGAAACCATTGGAAAGCCACCTCTTTTGTTCTCAAGATCAGGAAGGAAGACTGCTGTAGTCTTGTCAGATTGGAAAGCTAAATAAATGTCTGGACATGGAACTTTGGAGAGTTAAGGAACTCTTCTAAGAGATCAGATTGGGCACCGGCTATTCATAGGCCTGGTTTGCATAACATGTTGAGTCAAGCTATGGCTTACTGGGACCACGTGAACATGCACACTCATGGAGAGGAGCATGCTTTGATCCTCCTTGGGCCTTTTTAACATCAAACCACATTGAGTTAAAGCTTTGGCTTAATGTATCATTCAGACCTGGGTTTGTGGTTCAGCTGTCTCCTTACTAACCTCAAGCTGTAGACAATAACAGACCTTGGCTGTAGCTCATAGCTGGTGAAGAGAGAGCTTAACCATGAGTCCCAGTTTGAAGGACACATTAAGCTGATCCTTGGTTTAGCTCCGTGAATTTTGAGAGCAAAAAGGACTGGGGATAGCAGCCGTGAGCAACTCTGCAGGAGCCCACATGTTTACTTGGCCTCAATAAGCCATAGTTTAGCTTACCATGTGGCACAAACCAGGCCATAGGCTGCTACCAGAGGAACCTAATTTTGGTCTTTCAGTTTGTAGACAAGGATGAGATGGGACTCTCTGAGGAGGAGACTAATCACAGTAAAGGCGAAAGAGTCAGAGAGAAGAAGGAAAGGGTCTGTTGTCCCGCATCTGAAGACAAAGGCTTAAACATGTCTCCCCTCACACTCGAGTGCTGACCCAGATTTCTCCCTTCCCCACAGCTGCTATTTGGGAGGGAAAGAAAGAAAGAAAGAAAGAAAGAAAGAAAGAAAGAAAGACACAAGTTGGACTAGATGATCCCTTCCAACTCTACAATTCTGTTTCTATGATTCTATGAAGTTACTTGATGAGCAACATGTCTGGTTTGGCTCTAGGCCTGTCAAGATTCCAAGAGTGCATACCAGAGAGACTAGACTAAACTAGAGCAGTTCATAATTTGCAGAAGTTCTTTAGCACCTGAGCTTTATGTTTGCTGTTCTATAGTGCTTGTAAACAGCTACCTAAAGCAGAAGATGTGATGCTATTAGTTAGTGTTGCTCAAGAGATTAGAATCTTGATGAGTTTTGATTATAATTGCTGCATGTGATGATGGCGAATCATTGAATCATAAAGCTGGAAGGGACCTCAAAAGTAACATAGTCCAACTCTCTGCTGATGTAGGAAATCAAGTACCACTTTGTTTATATAGTGTATTTATATACCCTTTATTTATACAGCAGCACCGTTGGTGTGTATGGAGCTTTACTGGGCATTATGTGGAACTTTCACTCAAGACTTGGGGTCTGTGTAACTCTCACTTTATAAAGTTACTTCGTAGTTACTGCAATGGTACAGAGGTATAACATAACCGTGCTCAGTGCTCCACCAGATGAAGTGGTGCCATTATGGAGCCCCCATACAAAATCATTTCATGGTGAGTGATAACCCCACATAGAAGGTTCATAGGCTTTCCTGTGGTTGTCATCACACTTGTTTTGGAGGAGAGTGAGCCCAGTAGGCTCAAAGTCTTCACTTAATTCAGAGATAGGGAACCTGTGGCTCTCTAGATGCTGCTGGATGGCAACTCACATCCTCCATCACCTTTGGTCATGCAGACTGGAAGCTGATGGAAGATAGAGTTCCAATAACTTCTGGAGGGTCTCAGATTTACCATCTCTGATCTATCACAACAACTGTCCAGCATGTTCCTGTTCCCTCTCTGATTTCTGTGTCCCAGGTTGCAGCCTGTTTACTTCCCTGCCATGCAGATCAATGGAAGCCACTGGGGATGTAGTTTTGATCTCCATGTGCATAGCTCAAACCTGTGTTTCCATCCTTGGTCATGCCACCTGTAATAAAATGTCAAGAGTAGGAAACAAAATGGTGGCAACTGGCTTACGTAGCTAGCTCACTGGAAAGAATTTGTTATGGTAGGGTTGTTTTTTTTTAATCAATTCCTTGCAGTAAAGGCCAGTGATATGGGGACACGGAAGGTGTGTCATTGTTCCCTTATGATTGGTAACAGCGGGTAAGAGCCAATTAGTTTGGTTTCCTTAAAAAAAATAAAATCTAGCAATTTTAATTAGAGTCTGTGTCCCCCCCCCCACCTTCTGAGATGCCAGACCCTTAATGGGGGAGAAGGAAAACTTCTGTTACCTCTGCAGTCATTAGACTTGGAAATAGAGAGTCACTTTTCTAGCCTGGAGCCAGAAGGTGGGCTATCTCGAAGGCAGGGTTGATCGCTTTTGAATACCGCATGAAATCTATAGATACAAGGCTGGTGTCATATGACAAGAAGCCTTAAGCAGATGGATGACAGTGTGTGCACTATAGGCTGCTGTTAATTTACTAGCTAGAGATAATGCATCTTTAAAATTAAAAAAAAATGAGTCACTGCAAAACAGACTGAGGCTATAGCTTGCAGATTGTAGAACTTAGATGGGGGGGTTGCGATAGAGGTCGCATGTGTAGTTATGAAAGTTACATTAAAAATAAAATAAAATGAAAGGCACTATAATTTTTTCATAGTTTGAGCTTTTGTGGATTAAGTCAAAATGTGAACTTTGCTTAGAGAAAGGTTCAGAAAGTGGTGTGTGTGGTTTTTTTTAAATGTGTGCCAATTACCGTGGAGCTAAAACGACACAGACTTGTTAGTTTTTACTTACCAGGTTTAAAGGAAATTAATAAAAGAAGCTGGCTTAACAGCGTAACTGAATGATATAATTTCTGTTTAGTTAGGCTGCCTCTGCTCAGAAATGCTTGAAGTTGATCTTTTGCAAATTCCTGAATGTTCCGACACAGTTCTTGGCTAAAACACACATACATACGAAATAAATTTTAAATTGCTTATTTGGAGAGAGAAACTAGGTCTAGAAATGCATATTGTGAGGGAAAATATATTGAGGCACGTGCATATTAAGTGAAAATATTGCTTTTTCATGGAAATTTTCATTTGGATGGAAACAACGGTTCTGAACACAGATAGTGGGGTCCTTGGATAGCTGTCAAGCTCAGTAGCGATGGTCTCTCCTGTCACTATTCCAAGCACTTGACATTGGAGAGAACCATTTGAATTTCTCACAAAGGCCCTGATATAGCTTCACTGTACAGTTGGTGTCACCAGTGTGGTACCCAGAAGGCAAGGCAGCCAGAGCTTCCTAGCATGCCTTGTCAAGCTGACTGTTGTTGTTAAGAAAGGAAGCTGGTGGGGAAGAAAGGGGTCTTGTTGCTATCTGGTAAGTTTCAAGGTGGTAGTGGGGCACTGGGGAGTGCTACCCATTTTAATTTTGGGTGCATGCGATTTTGTGGGTTTTGCATGCGGATTGGGTATGCGGTTGTCATACACCACCCCAATCTCTGAACTGTGTGAGATTCCAGGGCGCTTACCCAAGATTTGGCTTCCTTGGAATGAGCGACAGTGGAGACCGAGATGTCTTTAGGATATATGGTTTATGTACATCTAACGCAACCTGTTTTGAATTATGGTGCTGGAGAGTCCCATGGACTGCAAGAAGATCAAACTTATCCATTCTGAAGGAAATCAGCCCTGAGTGCTCACTGGAAGGACAGATCCTGAAGCTGAGGCTCCAATACTTTGGCCACATCATAAGAGAAGACTCCCTGGAAAAGACCCTGATGTTGGGAAAGATGGAGGGCACAAGGAGAAGGGGACGACAGAGGACAAGATGGTTGGACAGTGTTCTCGAAGCTACCAGCATGAGTTTGACCAAACTGCGGGAGGCAGTGGGAGACAGGAGTGCCTGGCGTGCTCTGGTCCATGGGGTCACGAAGAGTCGGACATGACTAAATGACTAAACAACAACAACAACGCAACCTGAGTATGTGGTGGAGTGGCTCACAGTGTTCACACCCCAAGGTGGTCTTGCTTCCCCCATAGCTGCTGTAATGAGCACTGTGAGGTTTGAGGAAACCAGGTCCTGGTCGTGCTTGCCTTAGGGGAATCGGGTGGAGGCTGGCAAGTGCAGTCATCTGATGAGATGCTCTGCAGCTGGAGGCAAGCTCAGGAAGTCTATATAAGGTCGTGGTTCCCAATGTGGGGCACATGCCCCACAGAGGGGCATTTTGCTTTTTAAGGGGGATAATTCGAGAATGAGATATTAACAGGGAATGGCCTTTTAGGTTTCCTCCATGTGAATAGGAGTTCACTTTTTGAATAATAAGAATTATATGTCACGGGGGGTGGGGAGGCATCAGGATTTTATAGATGCTTAGGTGGGGCATTGCCAAAACAAGGTTGGGAACCACTGATATAAGGCCTGCATTTCGCCCTTGGTCTTTGCCACAGCAACATGGTCTTATGCCAAGCTGTAGCCTGCTTCTGCTTCTGCTCCTGCATCCTGACCTCCTCTGTTCCTGACCATGGACCCACCAGTTGGACTGCCTCTGCTACCTGCACCACCGCCTGTACCTCAGTTTTGGCGTGCCAGCCCTGAACTCTTGCTGCTCACACCTCAGATCATGACAGCTGCAGCCTTGGATTCCAGCAGAAATCAAGCACATCTCTCCCTCACAGACTTCAGCCTGCTTCTAACTTCTAGCTTACTCACATAGCACTGGCCTTTGTCCTTCTCGCCAACAGCCAGTTGACTGGGGGCACCCATTTGTCCTCTGTGTCAAGTGCTGTTGTGGTTGCTCGAGAGCAAACAGGCAAGACTCCAACCTGTCTTTTCCAGGCTTTATTGTTAAAACGGACTTTTTACTGTGCAGAGTGTCGCAAATCCGTTTCTGCTCAGTCGCTAGCAGAATCTGGGCGTGGCTGGTCCTTGTACCTCCCCCAGCATAACAGTGATGTGACCCCCATTCTTCTCCTACCCTCTCTGCGCCGGAACCTACTGTGCAGAGTGGGCGCTGACAAAGGGGTGTTTCCCTTCTCTCCGGTTTGCTCAGGCTCGTTGTTGGGGCTCTCCCTAGCATCTCCTGGCCCTTGCATCCCCTCCCCGCTGGAGGCGGGGCTTTCCTCCTTGCCCAAGGAAGAACTGCTTCGCAAGATCTTGGGAGGCTCCCTGTAACACAACTGCCCTTCCACCTCTCGCCTCTGAGCTGATGGCAGTTCCCTGACACTCTGATATGGAGTCACTTCCTGTGTGACCTCAACAACCCATGCTTAGGCCACTACCAAGAATCTGGCCTGACTATTCCAGCAATCAAATCCTTGTGGGATCCCGGAATTGGAAGGGACTCAGGCATACAGCTTAACCACCACCACTCCCCAAACTCACAACCCTATTTCTCCCAGGGTGTGTTTGTTTAGGGTTTTTTGAGTAGCGGTGGAAGAGAATGGTGCCTGACTGGGTTTGTGTGGGCAGTTTGCTTTTTCTGAAAGGGAGGGGTGGGTATGCCCATGAGTTTTTCAGATTTTGAAATGGGTTGATGGTTGGCAAATACTAGAGTATTGTGGGAAATCAAAATGCCCCCTACAGTGGAGTCAAAATCAGCATAGTTTGAGGGCCTATCAGAGCAATGGGAACAGTGCCAACCACAATCAGTTTCCGATTTTGATTCATGGTATCCTATAATTTAGTGTATATAACATAACACATGGCACAACATAAAATGATCAAAAATACAGAAGCTCCTTTGTATTGATTGGTTTGACTTAATTTTTATATATATAAAAAAGGAGGTAATCATTTAAAAATGCAGATGTTGCTGTCCCAAGGAGTTTACAGTTGAATTGTCAAGAGCAAGAAAGGCTGTGAATGGACAGAAATGAGAAAGGAATAGAGAGGCCAGGGTGAAGAATGAATGAGAGTAAGAAAAAGCAGTCAGATTGTTTGCCATCTGATCTATACTTCAGTTGAGGCAAAGCTGGTTGATTTCATCTCATCGAAGCACATGGGATTAATTTGGTTCAAAGGCAGTTATTTTTTTCTGAACTGGGCCCACCCCGTTAAGTTTAACTGTAAACTTGTTGACAAGAATGAGACTACATCAGTATAAATCAGTGCTTGAGCTTAGCTAGGTCATAGATCAGGTTGTAAAGCAATTATATTCATACAGGATTAGATACTTAGAAGATGCTCATTCTTTTCCTCATCCACTAAAAAACCCCAACAACTCCCGAACTCAAGAAATTCTTGTATGGTACTTTTTTTTAATGAAGTTTTAAGCTACGGTGAATGCAGCTAGTTAAGGTCATGATTTCATAGACAACCTTGATTTTGATTTGCAGTTGTAGCTTTTAAACAATGCAATTTAAAGCTTAAAAAAATTGTGGCATTTTACCTTCAATGTAGAATTTTCCTGGCTCTGAAGCGTTTTGCAATCATGTGTAGTTTAGAGCTGGTATTGAAAATACTGTGCATTAACAATGGAATCATTGTTGCAGTTTGATATCCTACTTTTCTCGTGCAATATTCAAGATGACATTAATTCTGAGCGTATAACTTCAAATGTCACGCTAAAAAATTTAATGCCTGCATAAGGTCAGTAATTTAAACAAAAGGAAATGTGCTTTTTGCTGTATCTACCAAACATAGAGGTCAGCACAAGATCCACTAGATCAAGTAAATATAACTTACTGATGTAGTATTACAAATTAACTTAAGAACTAGAGGAACAAATGGTTGCCTCTTTTCCTTTTCGCAACTGCTGCCATGCTCATCTCTTTCTTCGTTTCTTTTTAATTTGTGGGTGAATTGAGTGCTCATTAAAAGAAAGGGCTGGATTGTAGCGATAACCAGGAACTTGTGCTATGGCTCTTCAGACACTTCAGTCATATTTATGCATTCATGGGAGCAATGGTTTCGAAATGCTGGATTATTTGTAGAGCTTCTTTTTATGGGCGCGTGATCCTATTATGGAATGGAAGGCATTTTTTGTAACCCGTAAGAAATGAGCCCACAATGATCGTATTAATCCCATTTCTTGATGGCGCAAGCTATTCTTATATTTTCTAAAGTTAATTAGTTCTTCTTTATGGGAACGCCCATGATGCAGCTGTACCGTGATCAATAAAAGGCCATGGAAGTGAGCAACAGTGCACTCATAGAAGATACCTGGAACACCCATTTCTAACAATCGTAGCACTGAAAGCTAGCAAAGTAATGATTGCCTTCAGATAATGGTTTTGTATCCACTTTCATTGTTATCAGAACCATCAATGGGATACACTCAGTGATTTACCAACTTCACAAAGTCTGTATGATCCCTTTTATAAGATACAGCAGGTTGGAGTGGTGAAGTTGGATGTGGAAGACTTTGGATTAATAAACACTTCAGCCAGCAATGAGCAATAGTGCAAAGTAGTGGTTTAGGGCCAGACTACACATTACTCTTCATGCATGGATTTTTGGCATGGGTTCTTTGCTTCTGCAACTCTGTATAAAATTCTGTAGGATTCCCCAGTACAATTAAAATTTTGCCTAAGCCTTTTCTGCGACTCCCATTAATTCCAACTTGTCTCTTAACCACTTTTTACTGCACCTGGTTGCGGGATACAGACACTGGATGCACAGACCTGGAGACTTGTTCCAAACAAATATGTGATAATTTATTAAAGCTAATATGTAATACAATACATTTATTAAATTTGTGTCCTGCTCTTCCTCCCTGAAGGAATATTTACTTTCAGGCTGGTTATTTAATAATACTTGGTTTGACAATAGCCGTTACTGTTTGAAAGATGTCGCTGTTGCTCAGCCGTCGCCCACGCTAGACTCCCCCTTCTGAAACTGCTGTTTTCTCTCCAGAAGTCTTTCTTCAGGGAAGTCCACCAATATCTGAAGGGCCACATGTTCTCTATCGCTGATGTAGATGGTGGGAGACAAATTACTTTGTTCTTATTGTTCTCCTTCAGCTATGAATTTATCCAGCAATCTTTTCTTCTTTTTTCTCTTTTTAAGTGTTGGGGTTGTTGTTCCAAAGGAAAGGAATTTACATAGTTTCAAAATGACACAGAAGTGGTTTTACATGTCCTAAACAAGGCCGCGCAGCTCAAAGGAAAAGAGTTGGCAAGTTATCACACGCCACCCTGTAGTCTCTGTATCTCAGCCCCAGCACAGGGCATTTCAGCATGTCAGCCTTAGGTTATCAGAGGAAAAAGTCACCGGAGAAAGAAAGAAAAAAAACACACGACCCATCTGGCTAGAAAAAACAATCCCTCGAGTGCTGTATGCCCTTTGATATGGAAGCCAAAAACTACACACAGGAGTTTGCTTGATTTGACACAAGTGGTTGTGATAAATTCTTAATTATGTGGTTGGATAAAAGGCCTCCGCAGCAGAGCCGAAACAAAAATGAGCCAATTTAGATTTGGGATCTTAATCTAGGGGTATGATAGGGTCAAAAAGTCCCCTGACACTTCTGCTTATCTTGTTTTGAATGCTTACCTCCTTTTCTGTGAAACTGGATTCTACCGTTCCGCTGCAGCGGGCGGTGTTTTCACAAGATGTCAAGATCCATATTGGTGACCAGCCTTCCCCCCACCCCCGATTCATGCCACATTTCCTACAACAGGATCTGAGCCTCTGCAACTCCAATCTTATATTCACCTTGGAGGAACTCCCATTGAACTCAGTGGAGCTTAGTTCTAAGCAGACATGCATAGGATGATACTGGAAACAGGGGTGTCACAGAATTCCATCCAAATTGATGGTGTTTGCTTACTCAACCCATGTCCAAAATTAACCCAGCAGATAGAAATTGTTGCTGCTTTCAGTCCACAAGTGATTCATAATCGATTGCGTTCCTGTCCCTCATTTGCATTGCATTTCCTTTGCGCTGAAATGAATGAGGCGGGATAACATTATGACAACATGACTGTGCAATTAATCACAAAAGTTATATAAGATATGTAATTTTGTCACAACAGGGAGCGGGATGAAGAACATAGTTTTTAGCAGAAGGTGAGCTGAAGCAGAAGAAAAACAGCTCTGCATGCAAAGAAAACAGGGCAGAGCAAAAAACAAAGCCTTTTTACACCCCGAAATGTACTTACGGGATGTTTAAGCAATTGAGTTGTAGCCAGCTAGCGAGCCTATTGTGCATTGTCACCCCAAAAGACAAGATGCACACCACAAATGAGGACACTATTTCTCATCAAATAGGCACATACCCAGGGCCGGAGTTAGGTTTGATGAGGCCCATAGCTACTGAAGGTAATGGGGCCCTTTATATGTCCAGCTGTCCTTTGTCAACAACAAACTGTTGCTGTTTTTTGTGTTGAATATATGCTGTATGGTAATTTAGGGACCTAATAGGTATCTAAAGCCATTTGCACATGCAGAATGTAGGCGCCCTATATATAGAAATGAGCAAACCAGTGATATTTTAGGGAGCAGGCTAGCAGGCGGGCCCCATTATTTACATCATAGGAGCCTACACAACACAAAACACTGTTGCTGTATGTAGGTTTTATTTTATTTGTTTTTTATCTTATATTTTGGAAATGTACATCCAGGTTTTTTCCCTTTAATTTTTTGGGGGGCCCTCAAGAGAGTGGGGCCCTAAGCTATGGCTTGTTTAGCTTATATGTAAATCCAGCACTGCACATACCAGTGCATGCGTATGGATGCACATTTAAAAACAATTACTACAATTTAAATACAGTACATCTCACCACAGAGAAGATGATAACCAGGTCATCTGCTGTCGAGGTGCTAGCTGTTGATGGAGAAGTTCAAGGCCCCCTTCTGTCCCTTCATGTGCTTCTTTATCTTTAAACCAGACATAGACTGCTGACAGCCTTTCAAACAGAAGGCTGCTCTCTGTGGAAGTAGGGCACATGATCACCCCACAGGGCACTACTGTTCACAAAGCGGTTTCTTCCCTTCCCTTTGCAGTGCCATGGCCCCAAAGAGGAGGCTTCCAAAAGAGTTCAGGCTTCTTTCCCCGTGTGGGAACTGTCCAATCCCCTCCAACATTTCTCCAGTGAAAATAGGGACATTCTATTCTACATCAGGAAGATTCTCCCACGTTTGATCTCACTGCACACACCGATGTCATATCTGCATCTGACACCTTGAGCCAATGACAACCTCTCCACCTCACCTACCTCACAGGATTGTTTTTAAGAAGAAATGTGCAAGGGAAGGGAACATATACAACACTTTTCACAGATAAATGGAATGAAATAATATTTTATCTGTAAGCTGCCTTGAGTCCCTATGGGGGGGAGCAAGACATAATAATAATAATAATAATAATAATAATAATAATAATAGGAACTGTGAGAATGATCGGGAACAAACCAGACAGAAGCCTCGTATAAAATTTAAGATATTAACTAATGCTAAAGAAAGAGGTGGATTTGCCCTGCTAGACTTAAAACTTTATTATAAATCAGCCGCTTTTTGTTGGCTGAGAGAATGGATGCTTCTTGAAAACACGAATGTTTTGGATTTGGAAGGTTTCAATAATGTATTTGGTTGGCATGCATATTTGTGGTATGATAAGGTTAAAGTACACAAAGCGTTCAAAAACCATATTGTAAGAAAAGCACTGTTTAATGTCTGGATAAGATATAAGGATTTGTTAGAAAATAAAACCCCAAGATGGTTGTCACCAATGGAAGCAAAGGCTCAGAAAAAACTCAATATGGAGGCCAAATGGCTGAAGTATTGGGAAATTTTGGAACAAGAGGGTGACAGATTAAAACTGCAGAGCTTTGAAAAATTAAAAAACAGAGTACGAGATTGGCTCCATTATTATCAAATAATGGAGGCATATAACTTGGATAAAAATCTAGGCTTCCAGGTGGAAAAATCAAAGTTGGAAACAGAATTGTTAGACTCTAAAGTTAAGAATTTGTCAAGAATGTATAACTTGCTGTTGAAATGGAATACTCAAGATGAAATGGTGAAATCTGCTATGATTAAATGGGCACAAGATGTTGGACATAATATTATGATGGCCGACTGGGAACAGTTATGGACCACTGGTATGAAGTTTACGGCATGTAATGCCTTAAAAGAGAATTTAATGAAAATGATTTATAGGTGGTACATAACACCAGTCAAGCTTGCAAAAATCTACCATCTGCCTGATAACAAATGTTGGAAATGTAATGAAACTGAAGGTACATTCTTTCACCTTTGGTGGACATGCCCAAAGATTAAGGCATTCTGGGAGATGATCTATAATGAAATGAAAAAGGTATTTAAATATACCTTCCTGAAGAAACCAGAGGCCTTTCTCCTGGGCATGGTCGGCCAATTGGTGCCAAAGAAGGATAGAACTTTCTTTATGTACGCTACAACAGCAGCAAGAATACTTATTGCAAAGCATTGGAAGACACAAGATCTACCCACCAGGGAAGAATGGCAGATGAAGCTGATGGACTACATGGAACTGGCGGAAATGACTGGCAGAATCCGAGACCAGGGAGAAGAGTCGGTGGAAGAAGATTGGAAAAAATTAAAAGTATACTTACAGAAACATTGTAAAATTAATGAGTGTTAGAAGGATGCTGGAATGAAGCTATATGGTTTTAGTAGAAATGCAACAAAGAATTAAGTAAAAGCTGATTGATAACGGGTTAAAATGAAAAAATTTAAGGTTAGACCGTTAAGATAAATTATAGAATAAAAATTGAGAAAGATGGGAAGAATTTGCTGAAATAGTGAATTGAACTAGAATACAAAAAAAGGGAGGTGTGAGGAGGTCGATGAAACAAGTAAAGGAAAGGTAAAGATATGGAATATTGGATGTGTGTTTTAGTTTTTTCTTTGTTTCTTTTTGCTGTATTGTTGTATTGCTTTTCTATGTTTTTTTTCTTTTTTATTGTTGTCTTTTTTCTTTTTTCTGTAATTTTTAAACTTTTAATAAATATCATTTAAAAAACAACAACAAACAAACCAGACAGTAAATTCCATTGAATTCAGTTGTGAGTAAAAATGCCTAGGATTGCAATGTAAGGCTGCCCAGTCTTTACGCAGTTACCTGGGAGTAAGCTCCACTGCATACAGCGGGACTTACTTCTGAGGAGACAGGGTAAGGATCCATTTACAATAAAGGAATCAACACTCTACGTGTTTCCTTAAAAAAAATTGCTGGCAGCCAAATCATGGAAATGAAATAATTTTAAGTGGATCAGTGACGTTTTCCTTCAACATTTCAGGAAGGGCTTTGTATTCCAGCTTCACAATTCCCTTAATTTGTTGCAGGTATTTTATCTTCAGTAGAAACTGGGACTTCAAGGACAATTGTGACTTTAAGGAAGAATGGGAACATTTTACAAATTATCTAAAAAGACAACAAAATGAACTGGACTCCTTGGCAGGTTTTGAATAAACATACACAAATTTATTGGTTGATAACATGATAGATAGATAAGGCAAGGATATGTATAATTTTATAACATGCAGAGAATAATATGTGCAGAGAAATCAGAGAGAGGAGCTGAGGAAAGTCCCTTGTGGGGGGGGGGAGGGATGGAGGGGGGAAAGGGGAAAAATAATGTATGTGATTATATGGTTTGATAATTTATGTTGAAATTGCTTAATAAAACTATTTTTTAAAAAAAATGAAACTGGGATGGCTTCTGTAATTCCGGGGCTGTCCCTGGAAAATCAGGACACTTGGAGAATATACTGTCCCACTCTACAGTTCTCCATCTTCCGAAGAGGATCAACTGTATACAGCAGCAGGCAGTGGACTCCTCACGCCCATTTCCTGACTGCAGCTATAATTCTGTTGCCTTGCATGTATTTTTCACTGCTAGATTAGCTTTGACTTGCGGACAGAGAATTGTGGCAGGGTAATGGGTTCAGAGCCCCCTAGTCACCACTGGTTTGCCTTTTCTTATTTATAACCCCTTGGCTGGCTATTGCTGCTCTTAGCTCGAAAGGTACTAGATGCTGTAAGAGAAGTGACCAGCTATGGCAAGACAGATACATTTAATCTAAATACTTAAATGTGATTCTTCTCCTAAGATGAGCAAACTGAATTAGGGCCGGGGGGGTGGGGGTGGGGGAGAAGCCTGATGAGAAAAGAAACCTAACATGATGAATGGGCAAATTTTAAAAGCCTATTAAACTGGAGAAAAATCAAATGACTGCCAAATGGACTTTCATTCCTCTTTTTATTTATAAACATTCATGTGAAATTGCAAGGGGAAGGGGGGAGAGAGAAAGCCCTTGAACTCCCCTGAAAGACATTTTGTATTGCGATATGTTGCCTTAACTGCTAAATGGTCATCTGCTTTGTGTAGGTTCTTTCTGGGGTCTTTGTACCATACATCTTAATGTCAGCACCGCTGCGATGCAATTCTAATGTGGATTCACGCACATAATCACCAAGCTCAGCAATAGAACACATGCTTTGTAAAAGCCCCCCAGCTTCAATCTCCTGGTAGGACTGGGAAAGACATCTCTCAGAAGTAGTGGGGAGCTGCTTCCAGGGATAGGGAACCTGTGCCCCCTCCTAGATGTTATTGGACTCCAACTCCCATCAGCCCTGAGCCCCCCAGCCAATGGTCAATAATGATGATAGCCTATATAAAAAGTATTTTCCTTATGCGAAGTCCAAAGCGGGGTTTGACGTGTAAGAAACATATTAGAGAGGATGAAATTAGATAAGAAAGAACCTTAAA